CCAGTACTCTAGGCCAGAGGGGCTGAGCAGTTCCAGGAGACAAGTTCTTGTACTGGAAAAGAGATGACTTTCCGGTTCTTCCCAGGATTTCTAGATTTGGCATGGGATCCTGGAACTGGGAGATTTCTAAGAGAATTGGCAGGGATGAACTCTTCCTGGGTCCATCGTTTATTAGTGGCCAGCACCTAATTGCACACTTGTGCACAGCCCTTATGGATAGAGTTCTGGCTAATGTTCTGGGCTCCAGCTGGGAAGAGGAAAAGAGCTGTTCAGGAGTCAGGAGGACTCCACCCAGAAGCCAGAATGGAGCCAGGAGGCTGTGTGTGTGCTGGAGGCACCTGAGAATCAGCCAAGGAGGCTTAATGAGCCTGTGACACACACGGGATGTGTGGAAGAGTCACATGGAGGATATGTGATAATCTTGAGTCGGTGAGACATTGGGGTCTATTCACGAAGCTGCCGAAGGATCTGGGCGTAGCTTCGGCTGATCCTTCGGCTAGCTTCGGCTCCAGGACCCCTTCGGTTCAGTAGAACCGAAGGGGTGCTGTACGGGCTATTCACAATAGCCCGTACAGCTCCCGATCATGGCCGAGCGGCTCAGCCGAGCCGAACGCATATGCATCGGCTCGGCTGAGCCGTGCTGAAAGCCGAAGCTGGCCGAGCGGCCGGCCATTGGCAGAGGGCGGGAACAATGCTAGTTTACTATTGGCTATTGCAAATTGAAATAGCCAATAGTAATGTCCCAACGCTTTTCAATGGGAAAATGTCTTTTTTTTTCTATTCTGACATCGATCGTGTCAGAATAAAGAAAAAAGGACACATCAGTGCTTCTCTCCTGGGCGGCCGGGAGCGGGAGGCTCCCAGAGTGCCCGGGAGAGTTTTTTTTTTCGTTTTTTTTTGACAGCAGCAGAGCCGCCGGACAATAGAAAACTATTGGGAGGAGCTAGCTGTCACTGCTAGCTCCGCACAATCGTTTGCTATTTACTTTTTAAACTTTTTTCACTGTTTTTCTGTTCTGCTCGGTACCTCTGAGGGTATGGCTGGGGGTTACCGCTATTGGTACTGAAAATTAACCCTGAGCCACACTCGGGAATACCGCCAGGGAGGTTAAGCACTCACCATTTGTGCTAACTTCCGCAAGCTAACACACCCTTTATGTTACGGTCTCTGAGGAATGTATCTAATTGATTTTTAAATGATTCAATACTCTCAGCTGATACCACTGCTTGTGGCAGCGAGTGCCAGACTTTAACCGCTCTTACTGAAAAGAAGCCCCTCCGCCCCTTGTGGTTAAATCTTTTTTTCACTAATTTTCAGTGGAGTTATGGAGTTTACTGTAAAAAGTTTATTGCTGATGTTGCCATCACCACTAAACATTTTGTTCATTAAAATTCTGTCCCCTCTTCATCTCCTCACTTCCAGCGTGAACAAGTTTAAATTTAATAACAATGTCTCATTGCTTAGGTCCTCCAGCCCCTTAATTACTTTCGTTCCCCTTCTCTGGACTCTCTCCAGCTCCAGGACATCTTTTCTGTGGATCGTTGACCAAAACTGGACCGCATACTCCAGATGAGGCCGAACCAGTGATCTATAAAGTGGCAAAACTATTGCTTTGTCTCTACAGTACATTCCCTTTTTAATACAAGACAGTACTCTGCTAGCTTTATTTGGCCAGGCATTGCAAGCTATTCAATATGTGGTGTACTATGACCCCCAAATCTTTTTCCATTTCTGACTTCCCTAGTGGAGTACCCATTAATATGTATTCCTCTTGCCTATTTTTAACCCCAAAATGCATTACTTTACATGTTTCAATATTAAATCTCATCTGCCATAGAGTTGCCCACTCCACCTATTTTATCCAGGTCCTCCTGTAATGTTATAATGTCTAAGTCCGTGTCTACTACCTGCCCAATTTTAGTATCGTCAGCAAACACAGAAACATGGCTATTAACACCTTCCCCAACATCATTAATAAACAAATTAAACAGTATGGGGCCAAGCATAGAACCCTGAGGCACGTCACTCTTGACTTTAGACCAATCTGAAAAAGAGCCATTTATCAATACTCTCTAGGCACGTTCTTGTAGCCAGTTCTCTATCCATGTACATACCATTTAATCTATGCCAATAGATCTCAGCTTGTGTATTAAGCGTTTATGTGGTACTTTGTCAAAAGCTTTGTCAAAATCTAGATATACCACATTCACCGGCCTTCCCTCCATCCAGATTTCTACTCACCTCTTCGTAGAATGTTAGTAGGTTGGCCTGACAAGAACCGTCCTTCCTAAATCTGTGCTGATTATCATTTATTATACCATTGTCACGAACAAAATCCACTACATAGTCCTTTATCATTCCCTCAAACAGTTTGCATACTATTGATGTTAGACTGACTGGTCTGTAGTTCCCAGCTTGGCATCTTGAACCTTTTTTGAAAATTGGTACTACTGTAGATTTCTGCCAGTCACTTGGTACCCTTCCAGTCATTATGGAGTCCTTGAAAATTAGAAATAATGGTCTCGCTATAACCTGACTGAGTTCTTTGAAGTACCTTGGGGTGCAGGGTATCTGGTCCTAGTGCTTTATTTGTATTTAGTTTTGCCAGTCTTTGTTCAACCCTCGGCTACTGTCAGCCACTGGGGTATTTTACGCACTAAGCTACTTACATTCTTATCTCCATTAAACCTGTCTTTTTCCTGAGTGCATACTGAGGAGAAAAATGAACACATTTAACACATCAGCCTTCTCCCTGTCATTTGTGATTAATCTCCTATTTTCATCTTTTATTGGGCCTACCTGCTCTTTTCTTGACCTTTTACTGTTTATATATTGGTAGAATTTTGGGGGGTTCTTCTTACAGACTGTGGCAATATGCTTCTCGTAATCTATTTTAGCTGCCCGGATTTAGTGTTTACATCTCTTATTACATTCCTTTTAGCTCTGGAATGCCAATGCAGTCCCCTCCATCTTAAAATGTTTTATTTAACCATGCAGGCTTAGTTCTTGATCTTTTATTTTTGTTACCCAATGGTATGCACATAGTAATAGTGTTATGTAATATATTCTTAAAACAATCCCATTTCTCGTCAGTGTTCAGTGTTAGAAATAAGTTGCCCCATTTAGTGTCATATACTAGATGACACAGCTTATCAAGGTTTGCCTTTTTGAAATTTTAGTGTTCTTGTCAAACCAACACACTTCTCTTTTCTGTACCCAACATGGGTCACCCTGTGATTACTATTCCCCAATGTATCCCTAATCGCTATGTCTGCAACTAGGTCCGCATTATTGGAAATTAATAAATCTAGTATGGCATTTTTTTATGGTTGGAATCTCAACCATCTGATCCATGAAATTGTCCCGCAACAAGTTCAGAAAACGGCCAGCCTTTATAGAACGAGAGGTTCCATTTGACCAATCAATGTATGGATAATTGAAGTCACCCATTATAACAACTTTTCCCTGCTTACCAGCGATTTCTATTTGGGAATGTGGGTGAGCCTCCTCCTTTTCCCCTATGAGTCTTTTTCCTGAGTGCATACTGAGGAGAAAAATGAACACACACCCACAATTATTTTACGACTAGCATCAGTCTTATCTAGTTCTAGCCACAAGGACTCTACACTATCGCAACTCTCTGTCATGAGGTCATCTTGTATGTGCACATTTAGATTGTTTTTTACATACATGCATACCCCTCCCCCCTTCTACCAACCCTTTCCCTCCTGAACAGGTTGTATCCTTGTACATTGGTAGCCCAGTCATGTGCGCTGTCTAGCCAAGTTACTGTTATTCCCACTATATCAAAGTCTTCTTCGAGTAGCATAAGTTTGAGCCCCTCCAATTTGTTTGCTAGACTTCTAGCGTGGGTGTACATGCATTTAAGTTTGATTTTAGCGGTTTGTGTTATACTATAACTTATTTCTGGTGCCCAACTACTTTTTTTTTATTAGACCTTGGTATGGTTGATACATTAATAATTAGATTGACTGGAGTGAGCCCTCTATCCCCCTTTGTATTACTGCCCTCTATATCAATTGCTCCTGAAGTTACTTGCTCTATATTTATTATATCAATTTTTATTCCCTCCCCATTATCTAGTTTAAAAGCTCCTCCAGTTTTTTAACCATTTTCTCCCCCAAAAGTGCTGCACCTTCCCCATTAGGATCCAGGCCATCTCTTCTATAGAGCCGATAACCGACTGAGAAGTCAGCCTAGTTCTCCATGAACCCAAAGCCCTCTTTCCGACACAAGCTCCGCAGCCACTGTGATTGATGGGCCCAGAATTATTGCAACTGTTTGCTGTTTAAAACGGTACCAAGAACATGGCTGCAGTAGCAGCTGTGTTCGTGGTATAACCACTTCCAGCGGATGACGTGTATTTACGTGAACCCACTGGAAGTGGTTAACATGAACATTTAGTCAATAAACTTCCTCCTGTAATGCTTAGCTGTGCACATATTTAATTACTTCAGCACTGGCATTTTATGAATACTTTAAATGGATAAAAGACATTACTGTGACTTATTGGTTAGCACTTATGCCTGCAGTAATAGGGTCCTCAGTTTGACTCCTGACAAGACACTGTCTGCATGGAGTTTGCATGTTCTCCATGTACTTGCCTGGGTTTGTACTTGCTTGGCACTGGTTTCCTCTTACACTGCAAAGACATGCTAGTAGATGAATTTACTATTGTCTAAATTACACGTTATTAAAGTACACATGTACAGGTCTAAGAATCCCAACTGCAGCCTCCTATGGCAGACCCTGGTAACACTCCATAGAGTGGCTAATGCAGCCCTGGTACGTATTTCAGGCATGAAGCCACAGAAAAAGTAAGGTTAGAAGAGCACCAAAGATTGCAACATGGTCATGGTAGTAGAGAAGGGAAACTAATAAAATTAGGTGAATGATATTTATAATTATGCTTTTAAAAATGCTATACCTTTCATTTTATGTACATGTCTACAACAAAATATACATTTATTTATTTTCAGGTGGCAGAAATGCATGGAGAATTGATTGAATTTAATGAAAGGTTACACCGTGCACTCCTCACAAAAGAAGCTCTGGTTTCGCAAATGAGACAAGAACTCATCGATCTAAGAGGACCGGTAATTTGTGTTTATATATATAATCTACATTCTACATATATCATTTTTTTTATAATTTCGTTTTTTAGCCCTGATGCACATGTAAACAGAGTGATGTTAAGGCCCCATAAATACTCTAGCTATTGTGATGGATGTTCAGCCAACATAGCTGGTGCTGAATAGCTTATTACACAGAACAAATCAGCAAAAATCCAAAGTTGGTTTGCCTTGCTCTGTCAAAGTTTTCATGGACTGCAGTCTCTGTAGGAATATATGCTGCACGCCACATGTGACAGTGGCCATTATGCATGGGAAAGGAATGAGAGTGTATAACAGCTGGCATGTAGGAGAGGTGGGGAAGGTATAATGTGTTGGTGAGGAATGCATAGGCAGCATATGCAGGAATGGAGCAACTGAGGGTATGAGTGGGAGAGAAATACAGAGTGTAGAAGAGTGGTCACTATGTACAGGTGTAGAGAGACAAATTGTATTGTAACAGCCAATATATTTGGAGCATATGACAGTGGATAATATGTGCAGGAGAAGAGTGCAGAACATATGACATTGGTCAGTGTGTGTAGGCTAGAATTGTGGAGAGTATAGCAGCAGATCATGTGTGGGAGCAGAGTGTTGAGAGTATGATATTGGGCAGTATGTGCAGGAGGGGATTGCTGAGTGTAGCAGAGTGATCAGTATATGCAAGAGTCAATGCAGAGAGTATGGTAACAGAATTAAGCTCCCTGAGGACTTGTGTGTATAAGACATCTGGTATTGGTGATTTATTCACATACAGGGTTATTCACTAAAGGGTGAAAAGTTTGGAAAAGGCAGGAGAAGTGAACAATCTAGGCCAAAATAGCTGATTTTGAAAAATTCTTCAATTCAGCTCACTTTCCAAATCTGCTATTTTGGCCTAGATTGTTCACTTCACTCTTTTGTGAATAACCCTGTATGTGTAATAAGCCTGATAGTTTTTCTAGTCTGTTTTGAATCCATGTTTAGTTTGTATAAAATGAAAAGAAAAATGTATTTCATAAAATTTCCTTCTCCCTGACATTTGTGACCAACTTGTCATGTTCAATATTTATGGGTCTTTAATGTTTTTCCTTACCATTTTACTATTGATTATTTGATTTTTTTATAGCAATATAGGTGTAGCAATTTGTTTGCAATCCATTATAGCTATCATGATTGCACTCTTGCATCTGTTGTTGCATTCCTTGTACCTCTATAATGCTGAGGATTACCCTTGCATCTTGTTTATAAAAGGCCATTTTTTTTCTCATTCATTTGGGGTTTTTTTTTTACACTAGAATTTAGCCACACAGGTTTAACCTTTGTTGTTTTATATTTTTGACCCAATAGAATGCACAGGCAAATGCTGTTGTTTAATACACTCCCACATTTCTGCTGTATATTTGGTCCCAATTAACCCCTACATTTACTTTTTTTCATTTTTTGCACCTATGTTATATTCCACATTGTAGGCCTGAAAATTACTTAAAACCCCCAAACATTATATATTTTCTGAAAGCAAGACCCTATAGAATAAAATGTTGGCAGTTGCAAGTTTTTATGTTGCACGATATTAGCGCAACTCCTTATCAAACCCCAAAACTTAGTGTAAAATGTACTTAAATGCCCCAAAACACAATAAAATACACATGGTTTAAAATAGAATATATCACCGAGTAAATAGATACCCAACATGCCCAGGTTAAAAATTGTGTGCATCCGTGAAATGGCGACAAACTTCAGTAACCCAAAAAGTCCATAGACGACGCTTTAAAAGCCCCCACAGGTCATCAATTTAGAGATACTCAAAAATACTGGCCCTAGAATTATTGCTCTCACTCTGGCGTGCGCGGCGATACCCAACATGTGTGGTGTGTTCGTCGCTTTCATACGTAGGCGTCCCCCGACGCGCGTTTACGTGGCGACACGCATGCTAGCGGGGGACTTGAAAAAGAAATTTACATTATTTTTAGATTTATTTTATTTTAAAAACTGTTATTTATATATTTTTTTTATCTTTACTTTGATTGCTATCACATAGGGGGGTTTACAA